CCATCTACCTCTTCCCCTTCCAGAGTTGTAGTGCTGCCTTTGTAACCAGCACAGTCATGAGGCACAGACGTGCTCCTCTGCCCGTTGTAATTGGATGCTGAAGTCTGGAGCGTGACTGATTGCACTAGTTCGGAAATGATCCGCCAGGGACTCTTGATTTGATTGATTTTCTCTCTCTGCAACGAAGACGACGTTAGAGTTTATCATCTAGATTCTCTTCCGTGCACATCTTCGGAGCGGTCTTTGGCCCTTGGGTTGTAGCTTAAGCTCCCTCACCTGCTTTTATGTGCCACAAGGGTCTTTTCCCTCACAGTCCCCAAAGTTCAGATGTTTGCACTGAAGGTGACCGGTTTGGTCTGGCGCTGTCAAGGAGGGCGGGTTAGGCTTGGACAGCTTGCTGCCAAACGGCCGCGGCGTGGTCGTAGCAGACTGTGCCTTGGCGGATCGCTTTCCTACCCCCGATGAAAGGCTGTTAGGTGGTAACGTAAAACATACGGTGACCCCCAAGTGTTTGGGATGAGTGAAACTGGCAGCGTTTAGACCCGTTCCTCAAAAACGCGGTGTTGAGGCCCTGGTGTGCTCAGCTCCACTGAAGGAGCTCTGACGGAGCGCTCGGCGTTGGCTCTGGCTGGAGAGTTGCCGCCTTCTGGCCCGGTTGAGAGGCAAGGCGCCTGCTTGCCCCTGGGTTCTGCCACAAACCGTGGCAGAATCTGTCGTAGCCCGCGGCGTGGGCGCTGTATTTTCTCCCTGTGAGTCACCACTGGGTGCCTCCTCCCCAAGGTCACCTCATGAGCGGGTGACAGACGTGGGAAAGGGTTTATGGCACAGCCGGCTCCGCTGGCCCCAGCTTTGAGGAGTTGTGTGCGGCTGAGTGTATGCATAACCGGCTGCTCGTCGCTGAGCTGGTCGCTTGGGTGTTGCTGTGGAGCGCTTAAACGTAGGGCCTGGGCCATACTGGTTGGATTTAAGGCTGTGAAACACATTGAGTCACAAGTTACTGCTGTGAGGTTGTTTTTCTTGTAGTTCTGCTCCAAAGACATTTCTTTGAGACGGGGCGTTTCTGAAGAGGGAATGAAGTCCCTGCCTGGCTCGTGCTTGTGGTGGTGGTGGTGTTTTTTTCCAATATGGGCAGAAAAAGAATTGATGTGAGGTGTTCAGAGCCCTTCACACGAACACCCATCCACGCCCAAAGCGCGTGCCAGCCGCAGGTGAGTCACCCTCGCCACGCACTTGCTGCCTGACTGCGCAGGAAGAATCCCGCTCGGGTTAACTTCCCTCCAGCTGGCCGTGAGAGCCACTCGTGGGATGAGGCCGGCCCTTTTCCGGCCTTCCCGAGGCTGCGAACAATCGGTAATCTGCCCTGCGCTTGCTAAAGACAGTCACAGACGAGGGGAAAGACGTTTCCTTGTCTGGACATGAAAGCTGCGGCTGATTTGGTTTTTTTTTTCACCCCCTTAGTTGTTCATTCCCCAACTAAGAGGGGAGGGAGGGGGCTTGACCCTCTCTTCAAAATCCTCTTTTATTTTTTGCTGGCTGTTTGCAAGTCAGCTTGCAGGTTTGCAAGTTGGCTTCAAATCGCTTCCCGTGTTTCTGTAGTAAACTTTTTTTTTTCCCCCTGATGCTATAAGTACTTGCAGAAGCTATTTTGGAGGACGGGAACGTGAGGTGGAGGGAAGATAAAGGAACACAAGCCTGGGAACATAACCCCAGGGGGGAAAACGTGCCTTCTGGAAAAGGTGGGAACTCCTGTGCCGAGGC